CAGCTCGGGCGGTGCCACCCCTGGGCGGTGCCACTCCTGGGTGGTACCTCTCTTTCCCCACCCGAGCTGTCAGAAGGCCGCCGTTTGTCAGCTTTTCCTCGTTGCGGGCGTCCGAATAGGCAGTCGTTTGGCTTTTGCTTTAATAGTCTGAGATGTTGCTGCTCCCCACGCCGGAGGACTGGGGCTGTGCGCTGAAAAACCGCCCAGCTGAATGAAAGAACACGAACTTAAAGGTCTTCCTCAGAGACTTCGAACTAGCTGTAAGGTTTGAAGGTCTTGCACTGGAGTCAAACAGAGTGTTTATAGAGAGAATAAACCCCTGTGAATTCTGGAAGCTCTGAAGCGGTGTTCTTCCACTGAGGAAGGGTTTTATCTGTTAACAGGAATCCTTGAACTTTATTCTTGGAGCTCCTGTAGTGTTACGGATGTCTTCTGTGACGTAACTCTGTAGTGTTACGGATGTCTTCTTTTTCACTTTAAAGTCAAAGCCTGAATTGCTTATTAGTTGCTTCCTTGATAAGAGTCTGGAGTTAAGTAGTAATTACCTTAACTAAGGATAAATTCTAGTGAAAACATTGTTAACTGTTCTGTCCACACTGACAGTCCAGAGCTTTGCTGTAGAATTGTGTTTGTTGTATCGTGGCTGCCAATGACGTTTTACCAAGGCTTGTAGTGACAGGACAAGAGGCAATGATTTTAAACTGAAAGAGGGAGGATTTAAGTTGGACATAAGGAAAAAATTTTTTTAGGATGAGGGGAGTGAGACGCTGGAACAGGTTGTCCAGAGAAGCTGTGGATGCCCCATCCCTGGGAGTGTTCAAGGTCAGGTTGCATGGGTGTTTAAGTAACCTGGTCTAGTGAAAAATGCACTTGTGTATGCCAAGGGAGTTGGTCTAGACGATCTTTAAAGGTCTCTTCCAACCCAAACCATTCTACGAATGAGTTTTCTATGTGCTAGCTTGCTCAAAAATTATTTTCTTTTTCTCACTTAATACCTACTACTATGGTCTTGCTTCTCTCTGGATAAATAAACCACAAATTGCTAATTTTAATTTGTATCTTTTTTTTTCAGTAGAGAAAATAATGGAAAGAAGAACATCATCTTCAAGTCATGTCAGTGTAAGTCCTCCTACAATTTGTAACAATTTACTTTGAGGCTGCAGGTATCCAAGGGTGTTCTGATGTATTTGCACAACCAAATTCATTCTCTAGTGGTCCAGCTTTTGCTTTGTTGGGGCACTCTCTGAGAAAGAGCTTATCCTGGTAGCAGTCAATAGTGATGTCTGCTGTGATAGGCTTAACATTTGATTTCACATAAACAGCGCGTTTTCAAGGATATGTTAAGACCTAAATTAATGTCTGAAATATTAAGTGCAATACTGGAGTAAGTAGAGCAGCTGCATAACTGCATAATATTTAGTTATCTGCAGAGGTGAGTTCAGAGACTACTCATGCTAGTGTTTATTTTTTCTAGAATATCCCTATTAGTAGTAGTTTCTAGCAATGGAAGCACTGGTGAAAACAAATTGTAGGCACAGTAACTGGTTTGATCAGGTAAGGTCTGGACTGTCTAGTGTTTTAGAGATAAGCTGTTTCCAGCACCTCGTTTATGCACTTTCTCTGACCCTTGATCCTATAGGTGGGAACCGTCAGAAAAGTGCTGTTGGTTTAGATGAGGAGTCTGCTAAGTGCATACGCACACCTTTGTGTTGAGTTGGCCACTTTCTATTACGGACAAGCTGAGGCAACTGCATATGTCGCACTTACCATAGATACAGACCTCCGTTGGTTACCTCTTGACTCTGTGCTTGTTCTGTAAGTTAATTGTGCGCACTGCAAGCCAACATCATCTTAATGAGTGCAAGCGTTGGGAAGATATTGTACGGTGAGGTGGAAGTTTTGCTGATGAACGTATCTTGTGCTTTTTCTCTCTTTCTGTCTGTCCATCTGTCTCTTTCTGTTTTCGGAGTCTGACCTTACCTGTTCTCGGTGTTATCTGTTGTATTATTACAGCAGTTATCTGAACCTCTGGAACTTCAAATGCATGTTAAAATTTTAGATGAATCTATGTTCCTAGGAAGCTCATAGCAGAAACCACTAGTCAGGCAGCAGGTGGAGTTCTGAAGTAAGAAATTTGTACCTGGCCATTAAGATGCAGATCAGAAGAATGCGCTCTGACTGATGAAACATTTTTCTTTATAGGCCACTTCTCAAAAAAAAAAAATCAAACCATCTAATTGCAGATGTTCTTAAGTAAGAAAAAGTCCATTTCAATCCTTACTTGATATTGAAAGGGAAGAAAGATACTTGTATTAGGAGTTGTTGCCTATGTGTAATGTTTATATCCTTTATAATTTGACAAATCTGTTGTTAAAGGCATATTTGTTGGTACAGCGTTTGACCAGCAAAAGTAGTTTGAGATACTGTATAGAAATTCAGGTCTAATTACTAAAAAAAAATAAAAATTTGTTTCAAAGAAGCTTAGAGAAGGAAAAGAGCCCTCACAGTTCAAACTGAAGAATCAAAGGATTATCTCATTATGGTACAGTATGCTTCAGTTATGGTCTGTCTGAAGGACTACCTGCAGAGCTAATGAATTTCTGTGTTAATTACTGAAGTTGTTAGCATTGCTATTCGAGAGTCCTTGCTTGTAATTTCATGTTACAAGGTAGGGCATCTGGCAGCTTGCAAATTAAGTTCACACTTAGGCCACTCGACTGTGACTGTTTTACGGAGTAGCTTCACCTTTTTTCTGACTGAGAGAGACTCAGTTGTCTGAAAGATACAAATGTTGGGTTCCCTCTCTGATCCATTCTGGTCTGGTTGTATCTGCAGTGTAAGGTTTTACTTCTCAGGATGCCTGGAGAAAGGGCCAGGCTTGCAGTTTTATTCTTTCAGTTGCTATTATTTTAACTGGTTTAATTAACTGACAGGAAATGTCACCCTCTTTCTCTAGCTTGTTGAACTTGAATTCTGAATTGACAAATTTCTACAAATTACTAACTGCTTTATCTTTAATTATTTTCAAAACACTGGTTCCATTTTTGTGAAGGTTGGCAATGACAATAGCTGATGCCCTTTTGAGTATGTTATAGTGTATTGATGCTGAATTATCATACCAAAATACTTGTGCTATTCTACGATATAATTGCTCTTCAGCCTGAAATTTTTTTTTTGGAAGAGCAAACCTGGTGTGACATTCATCACGACATTCAGTTGTTTCATTTTCTCTATCATCTCTAAGCTGAGATGATTAAACTAGAGTATAAACAAATCAGTGGGAGCTAAGAAAGCTGTAAGTGGCGGTAGATTGGTTCTCACCGTTTGGGCACACATTTGAAGTTGTTGTAAAGTTAATGAAAAGGAAGAGCTTTTTCAGACAGTTCATATGTTAAAACTAGCTTCTTGTTGGTACTACACATGATTTAGTGTCAATCAATGAGGAGTGCATTTAAATTAAAGTCACAGGTCAATGCTTCCCTTGCAACTTTATTTTGCCTGACAGGAAAATTTTGTACGTGGCAGTATGTCAGCTTATAGCACGAGTGGAGAACTTAGTTTTATCATGTGTGTAACATCATTTATTTTCAGTTTCGTATACCAAAGAAGAAAACAAACACCAAATCAGAGGATGTCCAAGTTCAGTCCTCCTTGGCAAGGCTCCCAGGCTCCCACCATTGGGACTACCCTTTAAAAGAGGTAAAGAGAAGTTCTTTGGAGTCTAAAGTGCATAGGAGAATGTTACATAGGCTTTTGGTTGTGTTTTGGAGGCTGAATTTTTGCAATACTGAGTGCTGGCTTGTGACCAATGTCTACTCAGATTGTCTTGGAAGGAAACAAGTGTGTTGGTCTGAAGTCTGCCCGCAAGCGTGCGGTTGCAGAAGTGGAAGTCTTAGCACCGTATTGCCAGCCTAAATCATTAAAAAGCAGAGTTGATCTTCAGGTGTAGTTTGAAATTATCTTGAAAATCATGAATTTAAAGGCAAATACAGTGTTTTCTTTTTAGTTAATTGTCTTTGGATTCCTGAACTTTTGGGTTATGTTCAGGTCACTTACCAAACTTTTTGTTACAATATGGAAATAATTTTTACATTGAGTTTTTAGTTAGTCATTATTTGTATCCAAGAGCATAAACTTTAAGAGAATATATTGAGTACTGTGTGACTTTTGACAGAGTTTTATGTGCTAATATGGAAATAATTGATTTCAGTGTTAAGACCGGAAGACTCTAAAAGAACTTGTATGGTGTTTACCATAAATTACTGTCTTGATCATCTCAGTCACATACAGAAGCAAATATTTGCTTCCATAAATCTATATCAAATTCAGTAAGTGTTTTTAACATGCTAAGTTTTGGAAATATATTTTGCTACTCTTGACTCCTTCAGCTCAGCATCGCTGGTTTTAGTGCTTTTGGAATCATGGGGCTGGACAAACAGGCTCCCCCACAGAGCAGTTTTGAAAACCTAGTGAGGGAAGTTAGGAATTTTTTTGACTTACAGTCAAAAAGGGTCTCTTAGTAGGCCTGGTCATTTGAGCATGCTGCAATACAAACTCACTGTGTGGTTGTCTTCCATACTGTTAATACTTTAAGTGAGCAGAGCATCCGATTACAGTCAGGTTTTGAAGTTGGGATGAATGTCTGCCATGGTTACAAGTAGCAGCTTCTTAGGCAGAGCCAGACAGCACTTGCGTGGAATTCTTCCTGTTTTTCTCTCTGCCCCTATAAAAACAGTGATTAGATTGGGTGAAATGAAAAATACTTTTTTTTCCTTGTTATTTCCTGTGTATAGTCTAATTTTTCATTTCTTGTTTTTCCTACCTATGTCTATATAGTTCAGACTTTTCCATGTGGTAGGGGGCTCCGTATGCTTTAAACGCTAACTAGTCTTTATATTCTATTTAAAAAAAAAAGAAAAGATTGCTCATGAGGTATTGTAATTAAAAGATCTATTACTGTTTTATCCACCCAAAGGTCTGTCCTGGTTGTATTTAGTGTTGCCAGAGTTTTCTCCATGTTGTTTGAGAAATTTTGTGCAGCTTTCAGTGATTTGGGCATATAGGTCTCTAACATACTTGAAGACCAGTGCTATGAGGTGAACTAGATGATTGAAGGCAGGAGAGGGGAGAGCATCTTCAAGGCAATTTCTTGCTGCCACCTGTTTTAATAATGAGGGTACTTTCCATTAGAGTCAGTCCCTATGGTAGGCCAAAGACTGATTTGGGATGCACCTTTCAAACTTCACTGAAGTATGTAAGGGCATGAATTTTTCAGATGCCCTTTCATCCCATCCTTAAACAGAAATGAAGATAAGTTTGTCTGCTTTCAACCTGACTGGCATAATTTTGAAACATCTGTTTGATTTATTGTCTTTAACATTAAAAAAAGTGAGGAGAGATTAAGAGAAGGTAATGGCAGAAGGAGCTATGTTTCTGGAATTGCAGAAATAACTGTATGTTTAGTGGGGCTTCATTTATTTAATTTGAAAATATAAATGCATTCTGGTAAGGTAAAAGAATTTGGAAAAAATGAAGTCTTACTGTTCTGGGTTTTGCCACAAAGTACCAAACCTTCAAATTCCTTTTCTGTCTCAGGATTTTATATCTTTGAGTGGAATATAATTTGGTGAAACGCATGGAATTAAAGGAAGTAGAGGTTATCTTGCGTATTTGTGATGATGTAAAACATGCCTGGTATTTAAGTCCTGTTTGGGATAGTACTCCTTTAAATAGGGAAATAATTGAATTTTCCTGTATTGTCAAATTTCTTTAGGAGAAAAAAGTTCCATGCAAGATCAGGTGGTACGTGGGTGCTTTGAATCAAGCAAATTCATTCTTTGTGAAATTGGTGTGTATGGTCTTTGGTGGCTCTGCTTTATTTGATCAGTTGCATTGTTTCAATGTCTGGCATTGTTCCCTTTTTCTAGTGTAATATCCATTACTACATATTTATGTCTGTTGGAACCCACCCATTTTATTTGTTTTATTTCAGTGGAAGTTAAGTGCCAACAACAGAGAGCCTTCCACAAAAGAAAAAAGGCAAAAGGATTGCATCAGACACAGCTCTCATGATGAAGAATCGATTGGGTAAGAAGTCATCTCAAAATTAGTTCTTCTCTGTTCGTATATTCAGAGTTTCATAATCTTTCTTGAAGATGGGTATCTCTGGTCTCTAGCTAATTTGTGTTGTGCAGAGCTGGTTTTTAAGCTGTTAGGTAGCCTGTCTTCAGAGAATCATGTTCCACTGAATTAGTAGCAATGGTAACTACTTCTTTATTTTAACATGACACAAGACTGCGACATCAGAACAGGAGTGCAATGCTTACTAGAGGAATTACTGCTTGCTGACCTGCCTGGACTCCTGAAGGGTGTTCGTTACTCTCTAAGTGTAAATGATCATTCTAGCTCCAGATATTTAAAATGTTTAAGAAGTTTCCCAGATTATCTTTTGCTTGCCGCGTTTTGTTCTGTAGTCCACAGTCATTAACGTGGCTTTATCAACTTTTAAAAACAACAAGAAAAACCACCCAAGCAATATGATGATTAGTAGAAAAATACCTAGAGGTTTTTCACCTCTATTTTCCAGTCAAGGCATCTAAGTGAGAAAATAACTGCTGATGTGCCACTTCTTTATGCTCTGTTGCTAAAAACCAGCTATCTTGGTTTCTTTGAGATTGTGGCAAATTATTTAAAATAATCTTCTGTGAAGCTGTCAGCTAGGCAATTGTTTATCCAAGAAAATTTTGAAGTTCTAAGTGCCGTAGTTGACAAACAAGAAGGAAAATGTAGAATTAGATACATTAACAGCAGCTAGGAAGCATAATGACTTCATGATGAAATTAAATATAATTAACTTAATGAAGCAATTGTTATTCCACAAATCATTCAACTCTAAACAAGTGAGAGTATGCATTCTCTGCCTCATTTTCTGACTGGAACTTAACTTGACCATAAACTATTTCTTGTCAGGAGAGGCTGTTAAAAACAGAGTGCACAGGTAGTGAAAATGCTTAATGACAGCAGGTGATTTTGACACTGCCGAATTCAGAGTTTTTTGTGACCTACGAATAGTCATTGTTTAGCCTGGTCTTTATATTCAGAATGCTTCAAACTGTTGCAGGGAAGAGCTCAACTTAAAAGATTCCAAATTTATTTTTCCTACCTCCTCAGAGGCATATAGCTGTGAGTTTACATGTGATGTAATGCTTCTCTCAGTAACTTTGACTTGAGGGAGTGGCTCTCAGGGTCAACCTAGCAGAATGTAAAAGCTATGTTAATTGCAGTTTCCTGAGTTTTAGTTGTGCTGTGAAATGGCTGATATCTGATAGCACTCTTAAGGTCTTTCAGTAAACTTTGAACTGACCTTTCAATGTTGAGGAGCCTTTTTTTAAAAAAAACCCTACCTTTGGATCCATTACATATGTTAATTTTCTGTTACATATATTAATTTTGATATGTGAGAGACTTTCAAGAAGCATTTGTAGGTGTTCCATCATTTTTACCAAGATTCTTACCAGCTCATTAGTGAGAAATGATTTAGACTGTAAGGAGACAGTAAATATTCAGATTTTAAACCTGCGCATTTTTCACTTCCTCAGTGTCTGTCTGGAGTCTAGCTGGAGGTTCTCTATAAAGTAAACTTAATCTCCTGTCTGCAGTAAAGCTTGTTCTGAGTATTGCGTTTGAGTACCCAGTGTTTCCCAGTAAGTCAAAATGAACACTCCGACCTCATTGCATAATAAGTAGGAAGAGCATGCAGGTTCTAAAGAGGTAGTGAGCAAAAGTCTGAGAACTGACAAAAAAAAGAGTGAAGTGGCATGCTGAGAATCTTTCTAATGCACAAGTTTCCCTGCTCCTTCTTCCCAATGAGGAATTTTTCATTTGCATTGAAAAGCAAGAAATAAGTCTTAATGACAAACTCCTGTTAGTTCCTGATGTTTAAAAAAGTCTTCTTTATTGATAGGGGCTCATCTCAAGTATTTAGGGAGGTGTGTTTCATCAGAAGTGTTGCTTGAGCATGATTATTGCCACTTAATTTTAGTCAGAAAGGACAAAGTGGATGTATTAGTGCAAACCCACCTCACCTGTGTTTTTAACTGAAGTTCTGGATTACAAAATTTGGTAGTAGATTGTTTCTGTCAGTCCTGCTGTGACATGAGACCATGGGGGCTGGAAGCAGCAACCACAGCTGCTCTCACTTGGACACCTCTGCTCATTGCCTTTGAAAGGTCACTGTCAGGTGATTTGTTCATGATCCCAGACACGCTTCTCGGGGCAGGTTAGCTACCTAGTCCTCCTCATGTGCTGGAGATCTAGGATTGTGCCACAAAACAGATTAAGACTGTCAGGAAATATGAATAGTTCAGTTTATTAGTGTCACTGCAGAAGTTAGGTATAGTATTTATGTAATTGGTCAGTTAATGTTTTGTATCCCACTTAAGAAACTTTTATTGTTGAGGCAGCAGATAACACTATTTCAAGGGTAGCTGTCACTACCTGGAAATAGAACTTAGAGATATCCACTTACTTCAGCTGTGTTACTCCTGCATTCTCCCAAGAGGGAAATAGAGGGAAATAAAACAAAACAAAACAAAACCCCAAAATAGAACAGCTTTGAAATTCAAGCTTCTCGTTCTGGTCTGTCAGGTTTTCTTTAAGGGAAGGGTGGGAGGAGTACTTAAATAAGATGTTTGTGACTCTTTCATCTCAGGATTTCAAATGTTAATTGAAATATGCATCATGGGTGAATCAAGCACTGACCCCATAGCAGTCAGGTTTTTGGGGCAATCATTTGCTTACTGGTTGCCCTTCTCCTGACAAGTACATTTTGGCAGTAATAACTTCCTGGTCCAGCAAAGCAGAGAGGTTAGTAGAGATGTTCGTGTTTGCTGTTAAAACATTGACTTCTGATCAGTTGATGAAAAGTCAGGACCTTGGTGCAGGAGGAGGACAGACGGAGACTTTCTTTTCAACAGGGTGTAGTCAGTGAATGTGGTAATTGAAGTTTCCCATTAATGATAGTGCACCATGTTATTCCTTTGGGCTCTGAAAGGCCAAGCACCTCTTGAGCTGTGCTTGTGTTGCAGAAGCTCAGGTAGCTGAATACACGTCAAGTCTGTCAGTGGCTTTATTCTGTAAACCCAGGACAGGTGTTCAGCTTTTATGGACCCGACAGGACAACTCTTGCATGGTATGTGGCATCCCACTGTCAAAATATTTATTTCCCAAAACTTGGATTTACTAGTAGAAGAATATAGGTATGAAGATGGTGGTGTAGACAATTAATAATAATTTACTCCAAAAGGAGTTTGTAGCCTCCAGGTATCACTTTCATCACACTCTTTAAAACAAATTTGAAAAAAATTAGAGGCAGTGGTTACAACACTGGTTTGTACACAAATACAATCATTGAGAAAGGAGCTGGATCTAGTGACTGTGACAATTGACTGAAGTGGAGGTCAAACATTTTCCCCAAAGGGGTACAAACAATTAACAGCTTTTGGTCCTGCACTTTATAAATTAGGAAAATCCTTTTTTGCCTGTGAAAAATGATTTGAGACTTGCCAGCAGCTGCTAACAGCATTTTTTGAAATACATATTTGTCTGTTCTATCCTTACATGTGTAAATGTTTTCACTACCTTTGCTTATGTATTTTTTTTCTCTTTTGTGGAGGTAGAGAAGAGGGGATATGGTAGGTGCTAGTTTTAGAAACAAAAATAATTGCCTTTGATTTTCCTTCACCAAGATGCCTCCAGTCTTACTGTTGTGCAGGTTACTTGCTAGGTCTGCCAGTGGGACTCGCTTTTAATATATACTTTGCTTGCTTTTTTCCTGCTTGATGTTAATTTTTTATCTTTCGAAATGTCTTTTGCATGACTTACTCACTTTCTTCTGTGCACAATTTAACAGGTAATTTAGGGATCTGTGTCCCAACCATCATTTACAGATGTACAGGCTGGCTTAAGTGTGGATGTTTTTTCTGAATCTGTTTTACACCCAGTCTTAATGACATGATTTTCCAAGAAATGTTGCCAGATGCCATTCCTTCTTTAGAAGGGGAAGCCATTGACAACTCTGAAGCCATTGTACAGTTCTGAAGATCAGATCATAACCAGCTGTCCTGTCAAGGTCTTCAGTCAAAAACTGGTGCCACATAAGAAGTGATGCCTTAACCTGGCACTGACGTCCTTAAGAATAGCCAAATGTATGCTGTTTTCTTCCTTGTTGTTTGTTGAAGGTTCCTCTCCTCTGCACAGGTTTCTGGTGCAAAGCTAGTTGCATGAGTGCACGTGTGCTTTATATTGTAAGATCATTTTTGCAAAGATACTTGCTTAAAATGTATAAACCCCATTTAAATCAAGGGAGTGGGAAACATTACAAATTCTGTACTTAGTAACAATTAGTAAACCAAATGACAAGGGGCCTGAAGCCTGTCGAGGTCTAGCCTGACGTGAATATGGGCAAAGGATGCCAGACCTGAGTTTGGTGGCCAACAAACTATAGGTAATGAAATCCTGTTTCACTGGAAATTCTGCTTCTGAGTCCTTTACCTCCTGTTGTGGACTTTGTCTGGCATGACAGTATTGTTAAAGACCCTAAAGGTTAGAATCTTTTCTGCTATTTTTACAGTCCTGATCATACAATCAAAATAAAGACCGTGACCATGTGTGTTCCCACTGGACTAATTACCTTGCAAGTTCAGGCTAAATTTAGTAAAATTTCATTATGATATTTTGTGTTTGACAAATAGAAAGAAAAAAAATCTGGCATTTCTACAAGGTGGCACAATGAAAACTGAAATAATTTAGATTTGTGTAATAGGCTAAGCTTGTCATGATTCTAGTCAGGAGAAGTGAGCATTTGTGTTGTCTCATGGTGCTCTACAGTAATGGTTTTAGAATGTTTCTTTTTTTTTAAGGAGAAACAATTTCTGATTCACATCTTCGTATTGCTAGGGCCCATTTCTGCAACTGGGTTGTATTTGGAGGAAAAATGCCATTAGGTACTTCAAAGTTTGATTTGTAATTTCAAGTCCTGTTAGAGGAAGAGAAGTGTCTGGCTTAGTCTTTCATTCTTTCACCTCTTCTGGCACCCCAAAAGATTAAGTGTTACAATAACTTGGTAACTTTCTAACTTTCAGAAGATGAATTTGCACAAGTTACTTGATGACTTTTACCTCGGAATTGCCTTTAACTGCTTTAGTAGTTGTAAATTTTCTTAACAGTCTAATAGGTTCTTGTGTAGCTACATTTTGAATTCTTATCACATTTCTTAAATGTATATATTCTCTAATTCCTTAGATATTGCTGATATATTCCTTAATTCTAATATACCTTACAGTGGACAAACAACAAGTGATGTGTAAGTCTGGTCACTGTAAGATCTTCTGATGTATTAAACTATGGTTAATGCATCAACTCTGAACATCTGAGAAACTCAGAAAAAAGCTAGAACTTCTGATTTAGCAGGGACTTCTGTGGAAAGTAAGTCTCTTGCTTCCTATGCTAAATCAAGAACAGTTTGCAAGCTTGGTATATGCTCTCTAGCCTGCTGCAGTTGGGCTCCACCATGTAAGTCATTAGAGTTACTAAACTGTCCCTCATGACCTGTGTTTACATTCTAAGCTTTTCAATAGTTGAAGCATATCTTTAAATGAAACTCTGGATCCTTGGAGGGTAACACAAACTTTTTTTAGGTCTCCAGTATTCAAAGCACATGCTCAGACTCTGTAATAGGTTCTTAAAACCAGCAGTTCTTTGCTTTAGTAGTCACCGAGTATATCCAGGTCTAGGTAGAAGAACAAATGTATACCTGCCTTTTCCTGGCTCTGCCAAAAACATTCTGGAGCACTCCTGTGGCTTAGGTCAGTCTTCTGATGAGACTTTGTACATGTGACTTCCCATTACCTTAATGGAGTCAATATCTCACTTCAGAAACCCTGGATTGTTTTTCCAACAGCTAGTTAGGACCCATCCCTTACATAACACTCTTCTCTGACCAAATTCTTGGCATTAGAGAGCTTTAACTTAGTTTTTTTTTTCCTAATCTTTCAGGTTGTATTTTCATAGAATGGTTAGGGTTGGAAGAGACCTCAAGGATCATCTTGTTCCAACCCCCCTGCCATAGGCAGGGAAACCCTCCACTACACCAGGTTGCCCAAAGCCTCATCCAGCCTGGCCTTGAAGACCTCCAGGGATGGGGCATCTACAACTTCTCTGGGCTCTTTACCACTTAGTTTTTCTTTGGGAAACTTTTAAGAGAAGCGCAGAGAGTGTTGGAAGGAAGTACCTTCACTTGAACTTAGTTACTTAGGTTTGAATGGTAACCATTTAGGTTTATTGTCCATTGTCTAGATAGTGGTCTCCAAGGTGTGGTGTGTGCAAGGCAATCCATTGGGATGCAGGAAGGAATTTTTTTTGTACAATTAATAAATAAAATTAATGTTTATTTCATCTTTATTGCATCCTTTTTTAAATTTTTATTTGTGTGTTTTATAATGTATATAATGTTAGTACATTAGTACATTTATATAAATTATAATTAAACATTTTCAGGGTGCACGCTCAAAGTACTTTTACTCGTAGAAGTGCATGATCAAAAAAAAGTTTGGAGACCACTGGTCTAGGAAATACGTAGCAGAGCTCTAAGAGAAAGCAGCTCATTGCATACACAATGGCATTCAGCGATGCAGAGACTGACCGGTGTCTGCAGGTTCTCCAACCTGTGCATAGGAACCTTACTGTCTCTTCAAGTTCAGTGAGGGGTCATGTGTCTTGTTAACATGGTAAGTAACTGGGGAAAAGAAATCAACATGCAGCAACTTCTGAAAGAGCAAAATACGAGGATTAGGTGAAATGTCTTCCCCAAGTTCCATGTGTTTCACTAGCATGGCAGTTCCAAATAATTTTTTTTAGGTTCAAGCATCTCTCTTCTTCAGCAGTTTTCATGCCATATGTGTATCTGTTTACCAGCAGGTACCCTGTAACCACGCTGTTGAGCTGAGTGCAGCATGTCAGTGGGACAATTACAATTTCCTAAAAGTTGCGTGCACGGTTGTCAGCCTACTGAGGAATAGAAGCCAAGCCATTTGCTTAACACATGTCACTGCAGCATGCGTGTTACAACTATGCAAGTCGGAAGAGGTTTTCTGTAGCTATAAAAGAAGGATTCTTGCTCTACAATGTGAGCAGCTTAGTTTGTTACTCAAGACATGGAATAGAAAAAGCAATTCTTGCCTCCATAATCTTTTAAAACTGACAAATAAGCCTGAACTTCAGTGTCCTCTTAGGACCAGCACTGGGAAAACAAGCCCAATACTTACCTGTTTGAAAATAAAGTCAAACCTAACAAATAATCTGATATATAATACTTATCAGTTTATAAGGAAACTGTCTAAAATTCCTGACCGTGCTGCAGAATTAATTTTTTATGTGAAGACTTCAGTACCAATGTCGCAGAATCAGCGAAGTATAGATACTCGTTTAAAGAATTTCAATAGGGATTTTTAGGGATTTCTTATTAACTTTGTAATTCATAATTGTATGTGATTTCTTTAGTGAAATTCGATAGAAATCAGTTGGAGCTTCAAAACTGAGAGATTGTACTAGCTTCTTGATATCCTCCTCCGCCCCCCCGCCCAAGATTGTAATCTAATTTGTGATAAGGAAACCAATAATATTAATGGTTCTAAAATACAGATGCCACAGTATAAGTGCTTGTTTTCATGTCCTGCAAATACTTAAATATACACTTTCAGAATAGTTTGTAAGGCTATGGTGATACCGCTTCCAACATTTTGTAATAAAAAGATGCACCAAAATTTCCATGCTTCTGCACTGAAAGCTTACGTCTTCAGAATCACATATGGATGTGTTAGTCATTGATGCCAGAAGAAGAAAGCCTGAAAGACTGTCCTGATAAAGAGATGTGTTTGTAATACCTCTTCTCTAAAGAGAACTGCTTTGTAAATTGTCAAGGAAGTGAACCTAATTCTACTGAAGATATAAGGGATGATGCAGAGACAGCAAACTCATAGAAAAGCTTTGTTGAATTCATGTGACTTAAGAAGTTCTCAGCACCCTATTATTAATTTATTGTTATATATATGGCAGGCAACCCAAAGTTATCTTGACGAATGTCCTGAGGACGAAAATAGGAAGAAAATACGCACAGGCGCAACCTAAAACTGGTGCTAATTTTTCTGATGCTGGCAAGCTGCAGTCAGATCAACCACCTTCATCATCTGCTGCCAGCCTAAAGATATGCCAAATTTTAAACCCTACTCTCCAAAGCCTTTTTCTGCCTAAAAGGTATGTTGTCTTTGCCTCGTGTCACTAAATAACACAGTTTTCCTTTCAGTTGTTTTTTTTTCGTGAGAAAGCATTTGTACCACAGCTGTCTTGTTCATAAATTGGTTCTCGTTCTCATGTCATCTAACTTGATTGAATTCCCTTGTACCTGGTTCCTTTTGATAATCATTGAGAGAGATGGTGCCAGGCACGCTACCGTGGGTTTTCTGATCAAATGGTTTCTAGATGGTCCTGTAGTGACAAGACTGATTAATTCTGATTCAGCTATTGGACTCTCAAAATGTTTGGGTTTTTTTATTCTCGTGAAAAGAAAAGCACACTTGCGTTTAACTGCCCTCTTTTCTCAGAGAAGGTGTCAAGGTGTATTTTCACTGTTAGCGTTTCAGACTACTCATGAAAATGAGAGCTGACTTAAAGAGTCAGAAGAAAAGGCTGTCAAGTCCAGTATCTTTCTCCTCTCCAAGCGGTGATTGATTGCAGATATGCAGAGAGAAGTGTGGCTGGAGTGAATGCTTTTTTCACTGAATTTTCTCTCTGAGCTTCTGATGATAAATAGTTCAGGAACTTCCTTTATTGGAGGTTACGTTCAGACTGCGTTGTTCTTCTGTATCAGAAGATTTAAATTTCCTCTAAGTCACATCCTCATAGCTTATCACCTGTGGGCATCTGCAACATCTTGTCTGTAAGATAGTCTCCTAATTAAAGGCAAATGTGCGTCTCGGTGCAAGAGGAGATCCGAGTGCTCCCCAGACAACACACAGTCTGTGCTGGAGTGTGCTTTGTGGATGAACACAGACAACAGGAGAATTATGCAGTTGATGCCCTAAAGACAATGTTTTTCATAACAGCTTCAAAAAAGGCCATGATGTTACGTCCCATTCCAAAATAAATTGCAATGGAAGTGGTAGAATTTAAACCCCAGTTTGAGAAACAAAGTGAGTAAATCAAGGGCTACACAACAAACTGGCTGCAGTGGCATTGCATGAAATAACTTGTGCTGCTCTTTACATATCTGTGCTCCAGTAAGCGTTTGCATCTTCATGTTTTTGGTTAGCTTATTTTGAAGCTTGTCTCTCCTAACATTTGGAGATGTTTTTCTGAGACTCGTTATTGCTGTTCTGTAGAATGCCACCTAGAAGTTGAGGAGAGGAACAAAATCTAATGCTACCTTTTTGTGTGTGTGCTACTTCTCTACCTGTTAACCAAGTGCTTGAGAAAATTCAGTCTATTTTACTGGAGGCTTCTTGTTCACGGGAAAATCAAGATTGTTTGCTCCATAGTTCTGAGAAGTGTGTACAGATACTGCGTGGAAGCTATTTAGAGATAAACATTTACCAGTTTTTAGACAGTACTTAGATGATGTGTCAGAGGCAATGCAGTGTGAATTGTATCTGGCTAAGGTGAAATTATATGCCTAGTATTTCTTACCTTGGTCTCTTGTTGCTTTTTTGTGTGTTTATCTGCTTACTTTGGATTTTAAGTTCCTCAGGATTTTGTTTTGTCTCTAGGGGACTGAAAGTAATGACATTTCATGTATCTTAGGGGCTTGATAATCATCAATTTAACAAGAAGTTTCTTTCTTCAGATTTCAGTGCAGTTTTTATAATTTACTGTTATGTATACGGCAGGCAACCCAAAGTTGTCTTGACGAATGTCCTGAGGACAAAAATTGGAAGAAAATACGTAGACAACTACGTAACAACTGATGCAAATTTATCTGACGCTGACAAATTACAATCGGGCCAACTACCTTCATCATCAGTTGCCAGCCTACAGACATGTCAAATATTAAGTTCTCCTCATGAAAGTTCTTCTGTGTCTGAAAGGTATGTTACTCACTGCTGATTTTGCCAGTCTTCCTGAAATGATGTAGCTTCACAATGGAAAAGAATTTCCCTGAAACAGTTGTTTTTATACTCTTGTTTTGAAGCAGGAGATCAGTTTTCTGAGTGCAAACTAACACGCTGCTCCAATGAGCCATTTCAACATTGCATTTATTCTGATTTGCTGTACCTGATGTTAATAGGCTGCTTTTCTTTCATAGACTTTTGCAATAGACCAGTGTTTTCATTTCTGAAGTTGGCCAAGTAATTCAAACACCTTTAAGTTGTTTTTGTGTCCAGAACGAAAATCTTGTTTTCCTGTTGCTGTTAATGTGTTCTTGCGTGATTAAGAAACTGCTTTTGCAAAATTCCTCCAAATTTCTCTCTGATAGTTCATTTCTTTTCACATTAATCCACCAGTGGTCTGAATCCCAACAGAGTGCTATGGTTTAAGGGCTGTGTGTGTCCTCCCATTGCTTAGATTTACTTTTTCTGTTTTCTTCCTACCTTTAGGTTGACAGAGTGTCACACTACTGCTTGATATGTAAAACTAGCAGAAATCAAATATTAGAATTACATAATGTTTGTTTTAGTCTAAGATGGCAGTTGAATTAAGAGTAAGCGGTTTCCTCTTGTCTTTTATCGCTGCCTCTTTGCTCAACAGCAAAGTATTCACAGGAACAAATAGCAAGAAATTTTGGGGAAGAAAATAGAAAGAGGAAGGAAGAGAAGGGTGATTTGTGAGGGCAGGAATAATCAACAGTTCCTAGGTTAAAGAAATCTCAAATTCTTGAAAAAAGTATGTCATATTCCTCATTCTGATACGTGAACATCTTAGAGAACCCAAATTAGGAAGAATTCCTTTCTCTTTTTCTGTTGGGATCCCCATTGCTGCTTAAATTAATCTGACAAAGCTGCAATTTAAATGAAGGATTTAGAAGTTTATTAGACTGTGTCATTTTAGAAGTATTATGTTTATTGCTAATAGTTTTTTGTAACTTTAGGCTGACTAAAGCGTGAGCAGTTTGGATTATTGGGACTTTTTGTGTTTTACTGACAAATGTTTGATATCTGTAATTTTTGGTATATGATTTTTTTCACTTGACATTGTTTTGGATGATGGGAGGTAGTGGGTTCAGAGAGAGGAAAACATGAACTCATGTATGTAACACTCTAGATCTGAGGAAACATCTTGCATATTTTTTCAAGCTTGTATCTCAAAGGTAGCTGTTTTGTTAAGTTTTGTTAAGCACAAGAATGTTTTGAACCGGTCAGGTTTTTTCGGTAGTTGGTGTACTCAACTTGCTTTAGAATTGGAGTGGTTCATTGCTTGAAGGATTAATGTTCCATTCCTGTCCATGTGCTTTTCTCATGTATTAAGTAAAAGGCTCGTTATTAGCAGGAACCAACATCAGGAGCGTTTTCCAACCCTCCCCAGTGACCAGCACATTAGTGCAAGTCATGATAGATAGCACATGGGAAATGGAGAATTTAGGAGTTATTTCAACAAAGATGTGGTTTGATCCTGGTCATTTCTCTGTAACGAAGGTCTGTGTGTAAGATACACTTGGCACTGATTCTTTTGGGATCTCTTCTTTCAGAGGAAGGGAAAAGCTCCCTCCTTGCAATGGTTATACATAGATGTGCACGTGGCCATATAGAGATTCTTTTATATCGTCAGAATAGGTAGAACACATGCTCTGTTTGAATGAATTGTGCCAGTTTTGTATGATGGAAATTTCAGATTAAGTCGAAGAATTGTGTGTGAACAGAACGGGGTGATAATAAGTTAACCTTTATCAGCTAGAACTTGCTGCAAGTTTCCTGTTTCCTTTTTTGCTTTTGGTATTACAGAATTGGTGGATTTTGCATTGCTTGTTCACTGCAACTAAGTGTGAAAGTCACCACTGACCACTTTGCTTAAGTCACCACTGACCAGTATAACTAATGAATTTGAGGTATGTTTTAAATGTAGAGAAACTTAGGGTTTTATAGTGTGTTTCCTACTTTTTTCTCATGGCTATTGAGAACGCTTCAGTATATACTGTTACAGCTTCTTAGGTTATGCATATATCTGTGAAGAGGTGCATTTTAAACTAAGGAAGGTTGGAAGTGAAAATAAAATGTGCAGAATTTGTGTATAGATCAGATATGTTTAGGGAAGTCTGTTAGCTGAAACATTCCTAGAGAAGTGTTTTTCCTGTTGTTGAAATGCCTGAATTGTGATGTTGATATAGAACAGAGGGTAAAAACTGCTTAATGGTTTCGTATGGTCTTTTAAGGCAGAGAAATCTATATAGCTGTTATGCACACAAGTATTTGAGAGATGTGGATTCTAAAATCAAGTTTTCTGTACTGAGGTTATTCCAGAACTAGAGCTGCCTGATCTATGGAAGACTGTCTTGTTCAATATACAGTATGAATAATAGCGCTTATTGAACAATGTTTCTGTATATGGTCCAGTTCTTGATTCTTTGAGAGTGGAACGATGATCAGTAATTTCTTCATGGAGCTTATATACTGTTCATCACTGTGGTATCAGAGCACTCTGGAAATCTTTATTTGTCTTTCCAGTATTCCCAAAGAGCAACGATACTCCAGTCTACTGATGCAGTGCTAAAGAATAGGCATCTGTTTAGAAAGTGTCCCAGAGTTTTTGGCTGTCCAGTTAGAGATGTCAAGATTGTTCTTTCCCGTGACTGGTGATGTTCTTCACGGGGTCCAGGCTCAGCTGTCAGTGATTTCAGTCATTGTGATAGTCGCTTAACTCTTTACAAATTGGAAACTGCAACATTTTGAGTTAGACACATTGGAGAATCATAGAATCATAGAATCGTTAGGGCTGGAAGGGACCTTCAAAGGCCATCTAGTCCAACCACCCTGCAAGGAACAGG